AGACGATATTTTCTTCGTGGGCCCCGGACTGAAGGTGAGCGCTGGCGGTTACATCGAGCAACTCGAGAAGAATATCCTCTCCACATGTCGTCGCCCGTACCTTCTTGGAAACTTTGTACTGCTACAGGATTGGGTGACACCACATGGAATCAATAGAATCAAAGGGCGCCTGGAAAGATATTCTCAAAAGCTGTCCTCTGTCGAACGGCTTAGCGGTCAGAAATGCTTATTTCTGGGGTTACAAGATTCCATAACGGGCAGTACCACAATTTTCAGTTTCTTTAATTCTCAGATTCAAAGAGCCAGGCAGGACAACTCGTCTGACATCCTGCCTATTTTCGTGAAACACGCGCGCAAAGGTCCTTGGGAAAATATCAAAAAGAGCTGTCCGCGTCGAATAGCTTAGCGTTCAGAGATGCTCATTTCCAGGGTTGTGGTCGGACATTCGGTTATTCCCATTTGACTCTTCTTTGGTCATTAGCAAGCAACTCATTGTCAGCATAATTGTTTGATCGCCCTCAAAACTCAATTACTCCTTACAGTCTACCTTCGTTCAGCTGTGTTTTCGAATTTCTCCTTTGGTTTTTCAGCTGAGATTTTTTCTGCTCGTGGGCGCTTCTCGAAACCCCTTTTGGCGTACATAGAGCTAGACTTTACGAGGAACTGACGCGATGAGCTCAACAAACCTGTTGCGCTTGCACGGAGCGTGCTCTGAACGGGTTACCTGGCATCTGTCAACCGGATGCTCTCTCGCTATGACGGTCCAGAAGTGTTTTCTCAATCTTCTGTTCAACCATTCAGTGGAAGGATAACGGAAGAAGGAGGGGAAAAGAAAGGGAAAAAAGAAAGAAGAAGAAAGGAAAAAGGAAGAAGGAGGAAGGCTCCACGGCTAGCAGATATGCTAAAACACTGAACGCCACACGAAAATCACATTGAGGCCCCGCCCATGGATAAACTGTGGACGCGCCGCCACGTGCCGCGACGGAGGCAGGCTCAACTAAAGTGCTCGCCAACAGCTGACTCTCCCGCCGCCAGTTTTTGAGCCTCCTTCAAGAATGGGAGCTAAGAGTTACCTAAGAAGCTTCAGATAAAGCGGTGGTGGGAACCGCTTGTAAAGAGGGTGAACTGCCGATTGGATTCGTAGATGGTTATGTTGAATAACGCGTGTAGTGGGCAATAGAATATATACATAGACAAGTCATTTCCGAGGTGATATATCTGGGCCGGTGTCATGTGGGTGTTTCTTCTTGTGCTTCACTCGCGATCTCATTTCAGATTCTATGGCAATTATGGCCCATTTAAGAACTACATTTTGCATCCACACTTAGGAGATTGTGCAGTAACGCTGCAGAAAACGCTCGTATTATCGACGAAGATGGCCCGGACTTGCCCCACAACGTTGGCTGAGATTGCCGTTTGCTGAAGTTAGAAACGATTAAATGTTGACTGCGAATTCAGGTCTGTGTAGCTCAGAATTTGCCAGTTATTCGTATTCATTTTGATTTATTTTTGGTTCTACATAAGTTCTGCAGGCTAACATAAGTTGTCAGTGAGACTTGACCTTTTGTCGTACAGATTTCATTCGTAATTGTTCAGTCTTTGAGCGCGTTGATAGCGATCGCGCAGCTAGATCGCGGCATCGGATCGCTCGATTGATCGCGCGATCACGAAGTATGCGCGCTCTTATGAGCACCTTTCAGTGAGACTCAGGTAGATGGCTTTCATATCTTCAGAGCTTGGATACTCGCATCGCGTAAAACTTAAGTAGCGGTCATATGAGCAGGAACTCAATTCTGACCATAAAGTATTCGCCCTAGTGATGCTGGCATAACATAGCTCGCCAGTGCAGGAATTCGTAAAAGTCTAATTAGAAGTGTTTCGTTTCAAGAATTGCTCCCAGGAACGATGATCCGCGCCAATGGTAGTAGCATTAAGCATTGCTATAAGTTTTAGAGCTTATGGAGAGCATTTTGTTAAAATTTTCTGGAACCCGCGCAGTACTGAAAGTTATGTATAGCAGCTTATCGAGCAAGTCTAGAAACATGTAGCTTATCAATACAGTCAGCATTATGTTGAAGAACTTGTTGGACCGGTTATTTATTGTTCAATATCTTGTTTCGTTGAACAAAATGCTTCAGGTTTCAATGTTCAGGTCCGTTCATCTGCTTCGAGGTCGTCGATCATTTTCCCACATATATGGCGGACAAGTTAGTTTTAACCATTGCTAGAAAGCATCAATATCGACTTGATTTGATTGCTTTTAGAATTATGATTTAGTTAGTTGCCCATTCTCTGAAGAGCGCGACCGAAACTGTGAACTCAGCGCTTTCACCACATTCGATGCATTGCTACTTTGTTAATGCAGGTAAGGAAAGGTTTGCTTGGGTGTACAGGGTGAGTACTGAGTCACGGCATCGTGCGCAGACTAGCAGAGTACTTTCTAGCTAGCTGGGTCGACACGGCGCATCATTGCCACGTTTAATCGGTCGGGTCCTGGCGCGAATGACTAACGCTCGCAGTACCTCTTGGCTGTGTTCGCCGCTTCTGAGAACTAGCGACATACGCTCAGCTTTGTTCATCGTCCTGTATCATGAAAGGCCATTATCTTCTGTATAGGTTCTGTTCTGGAGCCGGTGCATTACAATGTGGAATGTATTCGAGATGGAAGAAGTTTTGCTACGCGATTAGTCAAAGTTAAACAAAACGAAAAGATTTTATTCACGTCACAGTTGTCATTTCAAGTAAGTTTTTCAAGCAAGCAATATTTTATTTCTGAAATACTTCTTTATATTTCGTTCAGTTCTCTTGCAACTGAACGATACATTTCCACAGTCACTTTTTCTTGTGTCTGTTGTAGAAATAGCTTCCGGGTCCCTACTCTATTAAAATCAGAATGTCATCGATGTTAACTTTGCCAGTTAGGGGCATTTTTGACAGTGTCTAAATCGCGGCATCGCATGCAAAGTGCAAATTATCTTTCCTAGATACTTGGCTTGGCACACTGTA